ATACATTTAGTCCATGAGTTTGATTCAAAACAAAATTTAAGATTATGATCTTTAGAAACTGGTGGTAGTTGAAAAAATCACCCATGACTATTAACTAATAAATAAAATATACAAATATATATTTGTGTAAGCATTGAAAAAAACACCTCCAAAAATCATTAAATATCATAACATATGCTATCATTATAACTTACTAATATTCCATCAAATGGTTTATCATTATCACAAATAGCTTTTGTAATTGCTTCCAGTTTATCAAACAAGTCCCCATCAAGCATTGTGACTATATATAAATGATAAAGTAATTAAAAATTAATAAATAATCAAATAATGATGATTATTACTTTCTAAAAAAAATCAATTATACCTTCATCAATAACCAATGCTTTAATAGATTGCCATTGTAAATAATGGGTTTTTGATTTTTTTGATTTTTTCAATAAGCTCTTTTGTTGATTCGGTATCTAGTCCTATGCCTGCAAAAGAGTGTAAAGTTGTGCTGGTGATGTTGACTTCTGCTATGCCTGTTGTAGCAATGATCTTGATGATTGATGCAGTCTTGATGCATTCCTGTGCATTGCGCCCCTCCCCTAGAATTTAACAGCATCGTTATATCATCGAGGGGTCGCCAGTCAGATTAGCCTTGTGTACACGAGGAACGTGTGAGAATGACTGTAAAGTGTTCAAGGTAGCGTGCATGCTTCAACATCTGTAAATTTCTGATAATCAAACATCGCATATCGAAATGTTTTATATTCAACGGTGTGCTGCCTTGACGTCTTCATGTAATTATATATTTATATTAATATTAATATTACTGATTACGAAAAGCAAAAGTACCAATCGTTCGTTGTTGATAAGGATCTTATAATTACCCAGCAAAATATTTACAGTATATAAAATAAAAGACACCACATACATATCAATACAAATAAAAAAAATACATCTGCTTCAGAGCCAATCCATACCATACCAAACAACATCACTTGCGTTTCATCACTGAAACATAGATTGTTTCCCAAGGAAAAAAAACAATTCGATTCGCGTCTGTCCTCCCAAGAAAAAAAATTGTGTCAACAAAAAAAAACCAATAAGGATAAATAATTAATGTGTACATGTCGATCAAATCAATAATTATTCTTTGATGTTTCAACGAAACAGCAAAAAAAGAAGAGTAAGTGTTTATCATAAGGATGGCGGTGGTAGTTATCGCCATTCGTCGTCATTCCAGTTACCAACAATAATACCTATCATTATTCACTTTCTTTTTCTTACAATGTGAACAGTCAGGAAAAAATCGTTGATTTTTTTAAAATAAAACCAATAAATGTGAAACCATCAGATGAGCAAACAGATAGTTTATGATCTAGCGGTAAATCAACGCGTGAATATATTTTTCACCGGTTCTGCAGGAACCGGTAAAAGTTTTCTACT